CAGCCTAGAATGAATCAGGTCCCGTAAAACATCACCAGTCCTACCTCCAAAGCACTTTTGCCTTTGGATAACAAGTTTTGAGGGGCTGGCCAGTGAATGGAATTAGTATGTTGAAGTATTCAAGCCACTCAAAATTTGAAAACTATTTTTGATTCAAAAAATGGCATTATTGGAAGAGGGGAGAATTGTCATTTCTGAGAGATTTCTTGGATTATCCTTATCAGTTAATGTCTTCAGTGAACTTTTGCATCCATTCAAATGCTTTTGATTATAATGAACAAAGCATTCCATTTCAGAATTTCCTGAATAATAAGGAAGCTTGATTATCTAGATAAGAACTCCTAAGGTAGGATGTCTCCAGGGTTGATTAGTTTAGTATCTCAACAACATTATCAAAAAGACTCCTTTCTTCCATCTTCTCATTTAGCAAAACTTGAGCTTTCTGTAATTGATGTGTATTTGGAATTTTTCATACTTTTTTTTAAAAAATTGCTCTAATGAGAGGTTTAAAATGTCATTTGGTTCATTTGTGGATATTGACTTTTTTATACCATGGCGACTTCATTGTGGAGGTAATTGTAGTTCATTTACATTTGAATTTAGTCTATGTAAAATTACCTAAGACCAAAGAGACCGGCAGCTGGACATGAAAATTTACATAGTGTATTTCCCTACTAGGACGTGGTTCGTTGTTAAAGAAATGCCCCACCAGAGAAACTAGAACAGTGCCTTTGCTATTCTCTCTCTGTTACCCTCAAACAGAACTGAGATTTGAGATGAAAAACACAGTGGTATTTTAAAGGAGGCATTAGGACTCAAAGGTACATCTGCCTGGTTGGCCCACCACAGTTGGGTCATGCAGAGGTTGGGGGTGTACACATGCGAATGTGTTAGCCTGTAACCAATGATTAGCACAGACATGTTCATCAGAAGGAAGCTTGCTCTTAATCATTGGCATTTATTTTAACGTTGTCATTCCAGCTTGCCCTGTCACCATCCCCCCGGAACCCAGCAGAGCCCATCGCTGTCCAGAATAACCAGCAGCTGGCGCTAAAAGTGGAGGGAGTGGTTCAGCACGGATCGAAACCTGGACTCTTCCGCAAAATTCAGTCTGTCTGTCTGAATGTTTCTTCCACACTACAGAGTAAATCTGGACAAGACTACAAGGTAATTTAGAGAAGAGGCAGAATTGTGATACACATTTTATGAACTCATTGATGGAAATTTTCCAGTGTTTTTCGTGGTTAAGCAGATTGCAATTACACCTCCAACACGATCAGATGGACATAAATTAACAGCACATATTGAGGTTTGAGGGGGCTAATAAACAACACTTCTCTTTTCCCTGCCTAAATCAGTTAATAGACAAAGCATCCAGGCAACAGATATCAAAATATGAGTTCTATTACTGTTAGAGTTGTGGGAAACCTAACTCAGGTGCCTGGCAGAAAGGACTTCCTAACCTTAGACCTCCAAATTAAATTTTCCTACCCACCTTCTGCCAGTACATCTGAGAGCCTGCCCGGGTAAAATTTATGGCAGGGAGGAGTACTCTGATGCCCAAAGAAGGAAAAGAGAAGGTACTTATCTTCCCATGCCTAGTTCCCACCCTAAAACTCACCAATCAGTAAGACTCACCTCCTCCCCTGGAGGCCAGTACTGCTAATCTAATGAAAGATCCCTCCACATGGAGGGAGACATCAGGAGTAGAGAATAAGTGTCTCCCTAACCCACCCAAGCCCTCCCCCAAAAAAGCATACTTCTATTTATTTTTCTCTATCTTAAATAAATGTTAGCATTTTTAAAAATGTATACAGTATTAATATATAGTGGTCAAATAAGGTAAAATCTTGCCGTAAGGATGTAACCCTAGAGATTTACTACTTTGAGAAGTTACGAGGTAGGTAAGCAGTAACCACAATCAAGCTTATGTTAGTAGCCAGAGCCAAGATGCTGAATCTGTGCCCATGAAATACCAATGTTCTAAACATAGAATGTTCCTTTCTTTAGATATCTCTTTCCAATTCCTTGGTGGTTTAGCCACAGTAAATGGAGCAAGGAACAAGTCCACAATTGTATTAGCAAAGTTGTTCAGATGCCCAGATTGGTTGTTTCCAGGTTTGCTGTGGCATGTTTGAACCAAAGTCCCATAGCAAAGAAGGGGTTATCAGTGAAGGTATAAAAAGAGAGCATTTAATTCTCTGCAGATGTTTCAGGCTAAAAAGCCAAGGGAAGGTCTGGTTTAAGCCGTCACTACTTTCTTTACGGTGGCCATCTGTCCACTCTCTGATATGGCTCAGCCTTCATTCTCTTTTTTTCCTCTCCTTTGACTTCTATGACACATGACATGGCACCTTGTACCACTCAATAAGTATTTTTTGAATGATGAAAAAAATAATTTACTGTACTTAGAGTACAGCTGTTATTGTGGTTGGGTGATCTCTGCTGTCACAGAAGGTTATAATGAGACATAGTTAACTTATCCCTTCTGCACCTCTCTCCTCACTTTGAAACAATAACTATGATTCTCTTTGTTTTTTGTATATAATTTCTGCTGTTAAGAAAAAAACATTTAAACCTAGAAGCACTGGTCTCCTGCTTGTTGACTTACCTCTCAAGAGGCATTGATTAAAGTCAGAAGCTGGTACAATAAGCTGTGTAGTACCTGATTGCTTTGTGATATTTCTCACAGTGAGTTTGCAACTTAAAATGCAGCCTTTCAGGATGATCGTTTTGCCTAGGCCTGCTTCTGGTCCTTTTAAGGAAATTCTTTGTTAGGCATATTCTTTAGGGAAATAAAAGCCCTACAGAAGCTGAAAGTGAGGGGGAAAAAGGTATCTATACTATAAATAATTCTAAGATCTTACACTGGTTGGTGACTTCAGTTCATTAATGTTACAGATAAATATCTCTGGAAAATTGACCTCATGATAACTGCTCATTGAGACACAAAGCAGAAGGGCACATTTATATAATTAATTATACTACAGAAACACACATAAACATAGAGCAATCTGGTCAAATATCCATTAAGATTACCTTTATATGCATTCTCAGAATAAGTCTTTTTCTTCCCATGCTTCATCTTGAATACAGGTAAGGGTACACCAGCAGATTTTATTCTGTTCTTTGAAGGACAAAGGCATGAGTGTCTGGCTAAATAAATGAATGAGCCCATAAATGAGTTTTATAAAATACCATACTACCAATCTGAACAAGACACTGATTATTAAGTGAGCAGTGTACAAGTTCTAAAGTTAATTTGGTAAAGGAGTAAGGAACCACTACATTACTTAAGTAATACAAAATCAGACTAGGAGAAAAAACCTAACTTAAATTTACTTAGTATTATATTCTTTTTCAACCTCTTAGATTTTAAACTCCTGGAACAGGTGGTTTCATCCTGTTTCTCCCGAATATCTCATCATAGACTAAAAAAAGATGGGGATTTGGAGATTGGGTCAGGTAGGTAAGTGAGGAAGAAAGGCCAGCGTGTAAAGGGGTGAAGAAGGCTCTGGGAGCTCATTCTCCTGAAGGACAGTGAGGAGGCAGGCTCGGGAATTAGCCTGCGGACTTCAGATTCCAACTCCACCACTCGTTAGCTGTGTCATCTTGGAGAAATTACTTAACCTCTACCTCAGCCACCTCATCTATGAAACAAGGATGATAGTAGTACCTCTCTCTTGGTTGTTTGCAAGGACTAAATAAGCTCTTAGAACGGGCCTGGCTCATACTAAGCACTGAATAAATGTCAGCTATTGTTGTCATTTAACAATTCTTTCATTCCAGATACCCATTGACAATATGACCAATGAGATGGAGCAGAGGGTTGAACCTCATAATGACTACTTCAGTACTCAGTTTCTGTTGAACTTCGCTATCCTTGGCACACACAACATCACAGTGGAATCTTCAGTGAAAGATGCCAATGGCATTGTATGGAAGACTGGTCCCAGAACTACCATATTTGTAAAGTCCCTGGAAGATCCTTATTCCCAGCAAATTCGCCTACAACAGCAGCAAGCACAGCAACCGTTACAACAGCAGCAACAACGAAATGCCTACACACGGTTTTAACCTTGTAATGAATGCACTACAGACTTCAAAGGACGATCCAACTGGCAGAAATAGTTTCCTTTTTCATAGGGATCAAATATGAAACTTATGTGGAGTCCATTTATCATTACATTGATTCCTGTAATATGATATTTTGGAAAATGGGGGTTTTTTCCCTTAAAAATTTAGTTTGAAAAATAATTGGGTTCCTAGCCAGCCAGGAAGATTTTTTTTCTTGTTCCTTCTTAAACCAAATTCTTTATCTCATACTTAACATTTTCATTGTTTTGTTGTTGTTGTTGTGTCTTCTTTTGCTGAACTTTTTCTTTTCTTTCAAGATAGCCATATATGAGATCATTGAATTAGCGAGTTTGACTGCTTCTCTTCCAAAATACACCATCTGCTCTCCGACACGGGCCTGGAATTCTGAGCTGGGCATTGGGAGGTCTGATCAGTTGGTGCAGGGTTTATCCGTGGTAGTAGAAAACGAGTCCTTCTAGAGATGAACTTGAAAGTGTCCCCTGCCATGTCCAGTCTCCTGGATTCTGAGAACCTACAGTCTAGCAGGGCAGAAACATCCTGTTGTGTTATATCGGCCACTTATCAGTCTCTTCCTGTGCTAAAGCAATTTTAATTTATTGTTTTAGTATTTAATTGACCCAAAGAACAGCTAGCAATTACATAGAAAAATTGGAGATTCATTTGGGTTTTTTTAATATGTGCATGACTGTGTATAACACAGACATTTTACATTGTTTCTAAAAGTTAAAAAAAATCATGTTTAATATCTTAATGTTTTAAGTTGGGCAGATCTTTGACTGGTTTGCTTTTTACTTGATGAGTTATATAATACTAGACTTAATTGTCTAGAAAGAGCAGTCTTTTTATAACACAACCTCAATTAGTTGGAATGCTCAGGGAATAGACTTTTCTGGAAAGCCAGAAAACCCCTTTTTTTCCTATTTTAATACTGGTTGAAGACCGTTATAAAATATAATGTATTTCTCATATTAACACAGATACTAGATACAACTTAGCTGTTCCTTGACTGGGGATCATTCAGTGCTTCAAGATCATGATTTCTTAACATCAGGGATCACAGGGTTGCAGATATTGATGATACAGGCAATTGGGTTGGATGCAGCTTCTAAGATGAAGCAGGGTACATTCCCTGGAATTTCCTTTTTAAATAAATCTCTCAATTTCTTTGCTTGTGTTTTGCCTTCTTCTCTTCAGTGTCAACATTGATTCAAAGGAAAATAGAGGAAGTTAAAAAATGAGGGTCTTTTTCCTGATCACGTGGCCTCTGAGAATGAGAAGTGATTGGCAACTTGAGTCTCTCCAGGATTGCATGCCTTCATGAGCTTTTATCACCCCAGCACAGCACATTGTACTGCTAACAGCCAGAACTTTATTGTAAAACATGCACAAATCTATGGCGTCCGCCGTGAATGACATCCTTTTAGACACAGCCCAGTTGTATGCAGTGTACAACCTGTATGGTCATGTCAGCATCTGGCAACATACGCCTTAGGAAAAATTGCCAGAGTGGTGTGCAGGACCCCTCATCCTTTTAGCAGGTGTGGAAAGAGCTGAACCAGAAAGCCCGGGTTCTACTCTTAGCTCTGATGAATTAGCTCTGCGACCTGGGGCAAGTCACGTCACCTCTCTAGACCTTAGTTTGTCTGTAAAATGACTGAATTAAACTAGATTTCTGGACTCTAGCCTAGAGTTTTAGTATCAGGTGACTGAAAAACCAAAAATTAAAAAATAAAACCTTTGGGGGGGAAATCTTTTTAATTTTTTCTAATTAAGTGGCTATTTTCAGGATGAAATTTTATAATGTGGGTTTCAAGTTCCTGGTACTATTTCAAGGTAGAATTGTCCAAAAAAGAAGCAAATCTTGGAAGCCACCAATTCTCTTTGAGACCTTCCCAAATTTTATTAATACGTTCTTAAAAAATAGGCTTTCAATAGCTGTAATTATGATTTTTGGTTTGGTGTACTACGTGCCCCTGGCACAAACTTGGAAAGAAATTATTAAAATAAAAACAAATCCAAATAGTTTGGAGTATGAAAATATTAATAGCTCTGTGAAGCAAAAAAGACTTTTATTTCAGTATGATCTGTTAGATCCAGGATTAGAATTCTGATTTTATGTTTGGTATAATATCAACCTCATTTTTGGCACCAGCTGTTAAAAGTGACTTGTGGTCGGGGGAAACTGTGTTTATAATTTCAGCACGATACTAACGAATAAAAAAAAATAAAGATGCAGAAAAGAAAGATATGCATACTAATTATGAAATGAGCATGTTCCCTGAATTTAGAAATATAAATCATAAAGGGCACTGGCTGGTGGAGTCTAGAAAGGCTGGCCTGATTTTTCTCAGTGCTTAGTGGCTTTGTAGCACAATAGTCCCCCCTCATCTGCGGTTTTGCTTTCCACAATTTCGGTTAACCGCGGTCCACTGCAGTATGAAAATATTATATACAATAAGATATTTGAGAAAGAGACCACATTCACTTAACTTTTATTACAGTATAATTGTTCCATTTTATTATTAGTTATAGTGATAATCTCTTACTGTGCCTATTTTATAAATTAAACTTTGGCATAGGTACGTATGTATAGGAAAAGAACTAAATGTAGGGTTCAGTACTATCCATGGTCTCAGGCATCCACCGGGGTAGAATGTATCCCCCGCTGATAAGGAAGACTCCTGTATAGCCTGGTGACCTTGAGCACAGTTCGGAGCCCCACTGCCCGGGTCCAAATCTTAGCTCTACCTTTGTGACAAGCTACTTAATTCTCTCTATGCCTCAATTTCCTTATTCCTAAAATAGAGAAACATACTAGTGTTTCATGGGATAGGTGTGAGGATTAAATGAGTTAATATAGAATTAATATATGTTAAGCACTTAGAACATACCTGGCACATAGTAAACATATGTGTTTGCTGTTATTACTACTGTTATTATCCTCCTTAGTATTCTTCACAGTGTTAGATCAGTTCTTAGTCTTAGCATTTTATTTCTTCAAAATAAGAATCACCTTTTCTCTGCTACTAAACACATTTAAGCTATCTTACTGCATATTCATTTTGGATACATCAAGTAATGTTGACCTAAACAAAATGGAACTTCTGCCTACTACATTGATGTAAATTATTGAATTAAAATATTTAAAGTCATACGTACAAAGAAAAAGTAATGTATTCCAGCTTAAACTAAGAGATCTTCTGGCAAGATCTTTCTAGCTCAAACCAACCAGGGGGCAGGTAATTTGCAACTGGAAGACAAAAATCGCTTTTCACGTAAGATACTGTTCAGAGAAGAACAACCAAACAAGATTTCCAGACTAGGGTCCCAGAGATGTCAGTTTAAATCTTATGTACAAAACTTAACCTGTTGTCAGTCCTTAAGTCACTTGCTCTTGCTATGCCAATATCTGCCAACAGAATATTGAGAATAAGATAACCTGCCACTTCATATATATAGCAGCATAAGCAATGCTAGCCAACAGAACTTTCTGTGATGATGGAAATGTTTTAAATCTGCACTGTCCAATACAGCCACTAGCCACATGTAGCCACTTAAATAATGGCTAGTGTGACTGAGGGGCTGAATCTTTTATCTTTAAATTCACTTGAATTTAAATAACCTCAGGTTGCTGCTACCTATAGAATTGGATGGTACAGATAGAAATGAAGATGAAAGGACTATTACCTTAAGACCTAGATAACCCTTAAGGAGGGTTAGATAAGGGAGTCTACATTGGAATTCTTTGATGCACTAAAAGTTCCACATGGAAGAGTATGTAGATGACAAGGAGGGTTTTTAGCGTTTACATGTTTGCTTTGCTTCTGGTAATACAATGCTATACGATATAATACTATGTTGCCCAACCAAACTCGGTTCTTTCCACAATGCTGCCTGGGACTTAGCCTTTACCAGTCATATAGACATTAAAAGTATAATGGGATATATTGAGAAGTCCAAAAAGTCTGGTGAATTGGCTTAGATTTCCTACCAATAGAACTCCAGCAGGAGGTTATGGTCTTCCTTTCAATTTCTTGCCCAAGAACACAAGACCTTTAACACCATGGGCTGTGTATTTTATTGGCTGTCCTGAAGCCAGTCCCTTATCCTGTGGCATATCTCCTAGTCTAAAGTGCTATGAGCAATTTAATTATGAATTCTAATTAGGATTTAAACAGAGCATGTTGTGGTTTTTTTTCCTTCTTAAATAACATACCAAGACCTGGAGCCATTCTGTTCCCACATTCTAATGAAAAATGCTAAATTTACTTTTTTCAAATCCACTGCAGGTACAAAACATTTTTCAGTCTGTTTTTTTTCCTTTATCCTTCTGCTTACTTGATACTCTCCCAGAGCAATTCTTTTCTGCACAGTCAAGTTTGTTGTGCAAGAAATAATCATCCTCTTTATTATTTAGGTCTGGTTAAAGATTGAAACTTGGTTAAATAAGTTTGAGGAATGTCTCATAGATCACGTCTACAAGTCTAGCCTTTGTATAGTGAAACCTAGCTAGCAAACTAAGTCTAAAAATATTTTTTTGTTGTTTGCAGATTTTTTTTTTAGTAAAATTATAAAGGTGGGGTAATCTAAAATGCATTAGAACAGTCAGAAAAAAATGAGCATCTCAAATACCAAAGTCAGGATGTTTTAAAGAAAATCAGGTGGTATGCAGAGAAGAAATACTCTCTAACTCAACTTTCTTTGGTTTTCTTGGAGATTTCATTTGTGGGTTTTGATGAAGCTTATTTGTGGCAATGAGCCAAAGGTGTTTAAAGTAGAACATTAGGATGAATAAAATAGAGCTAAATTAGACTAAGGAATTATGAGAAGATACCAATGTCTAGTTCTGTTTCCCAAGAGCAAAGAAAGTGAAAACAGGCGGTGCTGCCTGCAGTCTCCCTCTACCCCCAGTGGAAGCAGTGGAGCTAAAGATGCTTTCTATGTGTCGTCTCACCCCGGTAGCGTGGAATTGCCGTGAGGTGAGCACAGTGATGATGAGTTGGTAACACTTGTGTCCCAGCCTTGCTTTGCCTTCGCATCCCACCCACCAGCAAAAGCGGATGTGATAAGGAGGG